CCGGTTCTTGAGGTTCTCTCACGGGTCCCGCCACTACCAGTACAGGGCTCTGCCCTTCGGCCTGGCCTCGGCCCCACGGACCTTCACGAAGGTTCTGGCGGCCGTGGCAGCTCATCTGCGGTCTGTGCCGGTTCGTCTCCAATGTTATTTAGAGGATGTCTTGGTTCAGGCGGGGTCCCTTCCTCAGGCTGTTTCGGATCTTCGGCTCCCTATTCAGAGCCTTCAAAGCCTGGGCTTTTCAGTGAACTTCGCCAAGAGTCATCTTTCTCCCTCCACTCGCATTCTGTATCTGGGGATGGTCATAGACTCCATGTCGGGGGTGTTGAGTCTGTCTCAGGAACGGCAGGACAGCCTCCGTCATCTGGCGGAGTGCGTTTGCGCAGGGCGGTCCACTTCCATCCTCTCTCTGTCACAATTGTTGGGCAAGATAGTCTCTTGCATCGGGATTGTTCTGTGGGCCAGACTCCGTCTCAGGCCTCTCCAGTGGCAACTCATCCCCCTTCAGAGGGGACGATTGAGCAACTCTCTTCGGACCCTCCGTCTCCCGGCGGGGGTCTGGGTCTCTCTGGCGTGGTGGCTCTCCCCGGCCATTCAGCGGGGCTGCTGCTTCTGGGAGCCAGACAGGGTGACCGTCACCATGGACGCGAGCCTGTTCGGGTGGGGGGCCCTGGTGGGCTCTCGGATGGCGCAGGACAGGTGGGCGGGTTCGGACCTCCGCCACAACATAAATTGGCTGGAGCTGAAGGCTGCGTGACTGGCCCTGCGTCACTTCCAGTCCTCTGTGGAGGGGCGCCTAACGGACAATGTGGCCACCAAGGCACACATCAATCATCAAGGTGGGACCCACTCGCAGGCCCTCTGGTTGGAGGCTCTGCGGCTGGGCTCCTGGGCGGAGAAACACTTGCAGTCCTTGGTGTCGGAGCACATCTCGTGACTCTCCAACGTCCAGGCGGATTGGCTCAGTCGAGCGACTCTGGACAACGGCGAATGGCAACTCCACCCATCGCTGTTCCAGAGGATCTGCCAAAGGTTCGGGTCTCCTCTGGTGGACCTGTTTGCGTCTCCCGAGAACTCCCAGCTTCCACGGTTCTTCACCCATTTCCAGTCCAGGTTGGCGGAGGGCACGGACACCCTCAGGAGACGGTGGCCCCCGGGCCTTCTCTATGCCTTCCCTCCCATTCCCCTCATCCCGGGGACCGTCAGGAAGGTGGCGGCGGAGAGGGCCCTGGTCATTCTGGTGGTCCTGTTTTGGCCCAGGAGGCTCTGGTTCGCAGACCTGGTGCGGCTGTCGGTGGCTCCCCCGTGGAGGATTCCGCAGGGGGAGGTGGTCTTGCTGCAGGGGGCTCTGGTTCACCCGGAGCCTCAGTGCCTACAGCTGACCGTGTGGCTCTTGAACGGCGGCTTCTGAGGGAGGCTCATCTGTCTTCCGGGGTCATTCACACCATCGAGGTGGCTCGGTGTCCGTCGATGACCCGCATTTATAACTCCACCTGGGCGGCTTTCGTCCGATGGTGCTCTCCTAGGAGCATTTCTCCCGATAG